GGCTACAAAGATGATTAAAAGATTATAGCATCTTTCATAAGAGGAAAGGTTGAGAGCTGTAACTATTCATCTAGAGAAGAGAAGATCAAATAAGAAGAGATCTTAGCATATGAGTTTCTAAAGGGAGGTGTAAAGAAGATGGTTCAGACTCTGTGGGGACCAGTGATAGGATAAGACTCTGAGAGCAAATGGCAACACAGGAAGTTCCATGTGAACATAAGGAAAAAACTTTTTTAGTTTTGGAGTGACTGAGCACTGGAACAGGAAAGGTTGTGGAGTCTCCTTGGAGATATTCAAAAGCTGTCTGGATAGTTTCAGGACAGCATGCTCTATGTGACCCTGCTTGAGCAGGGTGATTGGACAAGAAGATCTCCAGAAGTCTTTTCCAACCTTAGCGATTCTGCAACTGTGAATAACATTTGTTTTGTTTAAATTTTTTTCTGTGTTAACTGTGACAAGAAATGATAAATATGGACACACTAAAAATGCAATTATTCCTGGCAGAATTATTAAGAACTTCAGTGGAAAAAAATTATGATGGTTCTTATCTTTCAGAGTATATGACATTAGAAGGAAATAAAACCAATCTGTTACACACATTATTTGGAATGAAAAAGTGAATTAAGTCAAAGATAAAATTTTAAATGGAGTTGGTACTCGGTGAAGCTGAAAAGTCTTCCTTGAATAATTGCAATGGTAGAACTGATAGCATCCAAATATTGCGGTTACATCCAAAGGCATGCTGTAAACCAACTGACAATCTACAGAATCGTTTAACAAAAGAGTGCACAGACCAAAAAATAAACTGTTTGGAAAAGCAGAAAGAAAACATTAGAGACTTTCTCTAGTAAGACTGTGTAGAACTTGGAGTAATATCGTAAAATAAAAGCTTTAAGAAAGTTTAAAAAAGATTCCAAAACCATGGGAAATAAGAATTTTGACTGCTTTAAAAGAACACTTAAAATGTAACTGAAGATACTCCATTCATAATCATGTACATGTACTTCAAGTGCTTCCTTTTCAATAGTAGAATTCACGTGAAATCTAGAGTTTCTTGGAAAACATATACTTTTGCCCAAATATCTTACAGAGGTTTAATTGTTTTCAAACACTAAAAGTAAGGGTCTCTTGCATCRATATATTGAGAACTACTTACGTAATATCAGCATTAGGATGAAGACCAAACACCTCTGGGCTGTCCATGGCAGGGAGTGACTGAATGTATTCAAAATACTGTTCCAGTGTCTTGCACACTGGAATTTTATATCCAGTGTAAAAACAGAAACTGCTGTCAAACATCCTTTCATTAAACCACACCTATGCAGAATCCAGAGAGGAAAAACACAAAATCACTTTGCTACTCAGAGTTTTTAATCTTGTTTTCACTTTTGGAAAAACAGTTCTCATTTTAGCTACTACCACTACTTTAACTTGAACACATAAGTAAAATATTAAAAGTTATGTTCCAGTTATGTCTTTTTAACAGTTTTTAACTCCTCATTGAAGAGAAATCAAGGCAAATGACCTCACTGCAAAGAATGATATTTTGAAAAAAATAATTTTCTTCTGTCTCATAAGTCAGTGAAGAAGTGCATATTCAGCAGAAAGGACGTCTTCTCATTACTGTGCTACAGTTGCCAATAAAAATGACAAATAACTATATTTTGAAGGTCTCTCACCCTTGCAAAGCAATTAAGAAGACGCTTATCGAAGTCATCTGTGACTCTGCCTCCATATTGCACTTCTCCAATCATGTAGCGTACTGTGCTCCATGATATACCCTGGATGCAAAGAAAATGAAAGATTTAAGTTATAACACATTACAAGAAGATATCCAGCCTGTAATTTGAATATTATCTGCACTTCAGGAAACTCAGAAATGCAAGCTGAAAAGATCATTGTTGGAGGAAAAAAAATGATACTAGATTTCAAATGAAATTTCTGAGTTCAGCTCTGCCATTTTAATGAGAGTTGGATGATTCTGCTAACAGAAACACTCCTTAGTATTTCTTGGGTGACCTGAAATCACTCTCAGCATTCCCTCTTTTCTTTCTTTCTTCTTTCTTTTCTTTTTCTTCTTTTTTTTTATTTTTTTTTCTTTCAGTTTCTCATCTTTCCTTACTCACAATGCATTACTTTGCAAAGAATGGCCATTCTACTACGTTAATCCCTGCTAGTAGGAGAAGTCCAGTTGCCAGCCTGAGTGCAGATTGATCAGCTTTGTTAAAATCTCATGCTTTAGCTCCCTTCCCAAACCAGATTTTGTATGAAGTTTTTAATATTGTAGATATTATGTGGAAAAACAAGCACAAATTCTGAAATTCTTAATGCTTTTGTTCATGCTAAAAAAAAAAAGTGTGAGTGCACACAAAATATTTCAGCTTGACTGTTTTTACATGGAATCTGAAACTTTGATCATTGTAGGCTATCCTGTAAAAATTGTGATTAATAGACTATTACAATATAAAGACATGAAGAAAAAACAATACTGGTTCCATATAAAGCAATTAAATTTATTGTATACAGGTTTTAGTACTCACCTTCTTGATGTCACACTCATCCAGGTGATTCTGTATAAACTGAACGCTGGCTGTAAAGTCTGCTGAGTTAAATTCATAGGGAATATTCCAACCCAAAGGGCCAAATTTGCGCCTCTCCTTAAGAAATGAAAACAAATATGTTTATGAAACACCATATTATTTTTCTCATTGTTAAAGCTCAGCTGGAACAAAAAATTGAACTGAAGAAAACAGCTATGTGCCTCATATACATCAGTAATAATCAAAATGTTTCTAAAGTACACTAAGAAGGAAAAACATAGAGAGAAAAAGCAAAAGCATAATTTATAATAGTACCATTTATTGCTACCTTTACTTATCAGCATATCAGACTCAGATCTGAAATGTCTCATGTCCATGGGAATGATCAGGACATTCAGATTTATATATTAAACAATTAATTTAAAGAATTACCAAATTTCTGCAATTTTAGCACACTCACCACCTCTAAATAGACTCTACTGTTACTACCGTTAGTACTGTTACTAATGACAGTTTTGATTTTTCAAATGCATTTATTAWTGCCGAGTTGTCAAAAAGCTTCTACATTGCCTCTTTTGCCTTTATTGTTTCATGTAAAGTTTCAATGTGGATGATTTCCTATTTCCATTATATTTCCACAAATTCTGAGTGGCTACTATTTCAAACTTATGGTTACAAGCACATTTGTAAATAAAATTACAACCCCAGTAACAACAGAAAAATAGCTGATCATAAAAATATGAAGATAGTATTTGTAGTCTAAAGATATAGATAAAGAAGATAAGGAAGTTTAAATAACTAGGACAACAATGTTTGGCAAAATAACATGTGAAATCCTACCAGAGAATCTACAGAGGAAAAAACTCTACATTTAAGTAACATTTACATATAGGTAACATTWGTTAACATTTAGTAACATTCAGTTTCCTAGCTACAATATTTAAAAATAATTAGAATTATATAAAAACTCTTCTATTTTTCCAAAATCTAGTATTGTATATAAGTAGATGACCCAGCAGTTTATTATTTATTAATAATAAACTGCAGAAAGGTATAATGATTTGCTGCCAAATTCTTTGAATAACTGTATAAGCTATATTTATCATGGCAACCTTGTCACCATAGGATATTAGGAATCGTTCAGTTTATAGGCAGGGCAGTGTATATATTGTTTGGCAATTGACATTCCATAAATAATTTTTCTGAATAAATGARTAATATTTTTGAAGTAATTTATTTTTAAAAAAAGTTTGAATAAATTTATGGCATCTAGTTCTCCCAGAAYCAGATATTCACACAAGGCAGTACAAAACACAACTTTCTCTCCATTAATAAAAAGYAGAAGGAGCAAAAGATGCATCTTAATAGGGGCCTCTGAAAAAAATTGCCCTTCATCACCTTTGCTTCTCAGAAGAGCCTAAAGGTTTAAATGTTTTTCTAAATTATTTTGAGAGCCTCACTTAAAAGAAGACAAATTCAGAGAGGTCAAAAATCTTGCCATTTATTTTACTCTAAAACCTTCTGTGTCTTTGAAGTACAAAGTATGCATACAGCCTTGAAGTTACTGTCCAAAATTAATATTGACACAGATAAATTTAAAAAGTTTTTAGTGATGATGATTTTACCTAATTTTAGCTATTTAGAAAGTAGATGGCAACTCTAAGCTAGGGATCTGGATTTTCTTTAAAATCAATGGATTGAGTGAGAGAGAGAGAGAGAGAGAGAGAGAGATCTCCAGAGAATGATTCACTCTCTGACAGAGAGGCACCTAAGATAGATCAGCTGATTCTCTATGGGGATGCCCATCAACTACAGAGAGAGCTGACTGGCTTACATTGGACGATCTTTTAGACCACTAAAATCATATGAGAAAAATCCTTAGTACAAATATTCATAGAATTAAATTTGTGTACAATTTAAAAGGCAATTAACAGAATAAACTAGCTTGAAGTAGAGTTTTTAGAAATTAGAAGCTCTAGCTCTGCAACATAGTACTACAAAAATAGCAGAATAGGTATTTTCTGACAGGAAACCCTATTAAAGTGACTTCATGCATTATAGTCTATTATAATATTAATTTTAAATCATGTAACAAATACCTGAACAGTAGAATGCAGGAATGCTACAGTGTAAAGCAAAGGCTTCCACATAGGCATATTGCTAACATCTAGCAGATCCTGATTAATTCCTGAAAATGTTCTTTTCAAACCAGCACGCACACCTTGGGGAGGCTCATTTGTGAACTTTATAGCAATCTATCATGTTAAAAAAAAGAAAAAAAAAAAAAAAGGAACACATAGTTGTTAGTTGTAAATACAAGATAAAATGTAAGTAATTGAAATGTAGATATAAAGTTAAAATGTAATTAATTGGTAACTTCACAAAAGTTACTTCACATATTAGATCCCTATGAGCTACATTAAAATACTGAACACGGAAATTGTTCACCCTACTGATACAGCAATGGTCTGTCATCTGAGATGTCCAAGAACCTGGGGATTTCCATCAATAATCTGTATTTAGCCATGAATTTCAGACTTTAATGACTGTATGGTGGAGGGCAAACTATACATAGTAGATTATAAGAACTCTCCAAACCCATCTGTTATATTTCTGTTCCTGAGACTTCACAGGAAATTCATAGAATTCTTGCCTCTCAGATGTTCACGGTTGCTATTCTGGACACTGTGGCTATGACTCCAATAATAAATTAAGAATGTTTTGCACACATTGGTAAATCCCAGATTTATTTGAAAAGAAAATTKATTATTTCCCACTACCCTTTAAAATATATGCATATAGTCTCATATTTCCCTTCATATCCCAGGTCTTAGGAATAATATCTGTTTTTATTAAGGGAGAATGGGAAACACTAGGAAGATTAACACTATTTCTGCAGGAAAGAGGTCTTTGAACACAGAAGTTTTGACACATTATTATTCAACGACTACTGTTCTAGATACTAACTTGCTTTATTCTAGATATTAACTTGACTGTCTGTGAGAGTGCTAGGAACCATCRTAACTTAAATACATTTCATGAGAGTTGAGCTAGCTTTCCTTGTACTGATAAAAAGCACTTTCTGGAGAGCTACCAAACAATCGTTTATATCTTAGCCAATGACAAAAAGGTTATTTTACAGCAGTTGATATTCTCTGAGATAGGCTGTCCATCTGCTGTACTCCTTATCTCTTACTTCAGATAGAAAAACCTAGGAGAGTCTAAGATGAGCTGTAGGCATTAACCTACATTAACCATAGGGCACTTTGCTGGGCAAAAAATATAGACAGACATGAATAGTTTTGAATCATAGAATGCCGAAGGTTGGAAGGGACCTCAGAGGTCATCGAGTCCAAACCCCCTGCTCACGCAGGGTCACCTAGAGCACGTGGCACAGGGCTGCATCCAAGCRGGTTTTAAAGATCTCCAAAGAAGGAGACTCCACAACCTCTCTGGGCAGCCTGTTCCAGTGCTTTGCCACCCTCACATTGAAGAAATGCTTCCGTAAGTTCCTGTGGAACTTCCGATGCTTCAGTTTGAAGCCATTTCCTCTAGTCCTATCCCTGCCCACCACTGAAAAGAGGCCGTCCCCCTCCTCCTCACTGCCTCCCTTGAGGTATTTATACACGCTGATCAGGTCCCCCCTCAGCCTCCTCTTCTCCAGGCTGAACAGGCCCAGCTCCCTCAGCCTTTGCTCATAGGGCAGATGTTCCAGGCCTCTGATCATCCTGGTAGCCCTGCGCTGGACTCTCTCCAGCAGCTCCACATCCCTCTTGTACTGGGGAGCCCAGAACTGGACACAGTAGTCCAGATGTGGCCTCACCAGGGCTGAGCAGAGGGGGATGATCACTTCCCTCGACCTGCTGGAGACGCTTTTCTTAATGCACCCCAGGATCCCGTTGGCCTTCTTGGCCACCAGGGCACACTGCTGCCTCATGGTCATCTTGTCGTCCACCATGACACCCAGGTCCCTCTCTGYGGGACTGCTCTCCAGCAGGTCCACCCCTAATCTGTACTGGTGTCCAGGGTTATTCCTCCCC